ATTTACAATATGCACAGGTGTTACATAAACGCAACGACGTTCAGCCTTTTGCAAATCCACTCCCCACACTTTGGGTTGTTTGGCCATACTTCACCCACGCGGGTCAGTGCAGGCTGGAAGAAGAGGTGGCCCAGTATCGGTGTTACGTATCACTCATCACTGCTATTAGCCGTTGCCAGGAATCGAACTCCGGTCACCAGATTCATAGTCCAGTGCACTAACCACTCTACCACTGCCCTCAAACACAATAGTAATAATCATTTACATTATTAATAACATTCATTTCCAATGTTCACCAAAACAATTGAAAGGTCAGTAGTAATTGCAAGTGGAAAATACAGGTGGTCGCATAGTCATTGGAATGTTAATAATCTTTACGTGAATGCATTTCAAATGCATGTCTACAAAGTTAGTCCTGTATGTATTATTATTAAATATCATAGTATGTGAATTATTATTATAGGTGCATGTAATTACAGGAACGCTCAAACATTTAACATTTATTTAAAATTTAAGGAGGAATACAACACTGCATCCTGGGAAGCGTTTAAATGTACCTTTATCTGTACAGTTATGAGTATAACGGACGTTTAAATGATTCTGCCTTCCATACTAAACAATGAAGACATGCATTACAGGTTGTCTGATGTTTATAATAAACAATGCAAATTGCTTGTATATTTACGCCTCTGTCCGTGAGTATGCGCGTGTGTGTGCGTACATCTGTTCCAGTGACATGTGTTGTATACAGAAACAAAACTTAAGACTGCACAACATAAATGCCCTTTGTTGAGTGCAGTGACATATACTGTAACCGATTTTGTTTGCTGATGTAGTTTTGTGCGTACATCTCTCATCGTGACTGCACTCACAATTACAAACAATGTATGTCTCAGTTGGCCTTCGCTGGACGCATGCGCTTTGTTTTCTCACAAAAACATACGATTTATTGAAACCATGAGAAGGCTTATTTATTGAATTGGCTTTGCTGAGCTTGATGAAAACTTGAATTTCCATGTAAGGAGTTATTCCTTATGTTGACGGAGTTGCAAAGCAAGTAGAAAAATTAAAGACCACATTGCCTGCTGCCTTCAATCCACACAACGGTCTCGTCTATTGTGGGTCTTATGAAACAGAAGAGGAAACCTTAGATCAGGTGCTAAACTTGCAATGCCACACTATAAGCCAGTTGGCCCTTGTTGATACCAAGCACCTGAGGGGACTTTGTCTTAACCCGACAAAAAGGCGATGTTTAAAGCTCAAAATCCGCCGATGTTGCTGCTTATGAAAAACAAATCAGTTTGATCAGTTTATGAAAAACAAATGCATTGTTTAAATGTATACGGTACTGGAATTGCAATTATTATTTTAACAGATGTAAACATATTCTTAGTTTTTTCGGTAAAGTCACGTTGAAGAGAAACAACAAAAAACTAAGAATATGAATTACTGCAGTCACGAAAGCTTTAAATCAAGATGTAAACATTTCAAAGTGCTTTTTTCTGACATAGATTAAGGAATGTCCTCTGTATTTTTTTATGCATTTGGGAAAAAATCAAGAGGTCAAAGGTTTAATGGTTAGTTAAATAAGAGGAAAATTAAATGTTAATTGTTTAGTCCTAATCTAAACACTGCCTCCTTGCCCCTACCATTTAACCTTCATTACTATGTAATTGCAGTAAGATACCATCCATTATTTACTCTGCCGGAATTAATTACGCGACAAAACCAAGTTAAATTTTCGAGCAAGTAGGACTCGCCATGGGTAAAAGATTGTAGCCTATCCACAGATAACGACGTGCGTCTGTTTACAAATTCAAGTATAATCTGCTAAGTTATCTTGAAAAACATTTTAACAAATGAGCTGGAGCGTTACCAGTTAATGACCTTGAAAGAGCAGTGAACTTGCCTTGTAACTGTACAGGTAGTACTTTATTTATTATTGGAACATTAAGCAATCAGCTGAAAATGACACCGTACATTCTGCTCCTGTTAACTAATAGTACTGCATTACCAAAACCATCACAAAGGACTCTGATCAGGAACCACAAGGGGATCCTGATAACCCTCCACTTAATGTTGTTTTAAATTCGCGCATTACACAAATGAAAAGGCAATTATTCTGCACAATATGAATTTTTTAAAAGTGCATTTTAATTGAAGTATTTAAACGTTTTTCTTGGTGGTGGGAAGAAAAAACATTATAATCACGTAACTTTGTTTTACATACCATTATTTGGCAGTGTACACTGATGAATTATTGATGATTTAATAAACATATGGTGCTGATTATAATACATGGCACCATGCAAAGGGTAGAATTACTTATGTTCCTACAGAAAGAACAGCAGTGCCCTCAAGTGGATAAAACGGTATTGACTAATCAATCATATACCCAGTGGTCCTCAAAATCCTTGGGATTGTGGCCCCCCTCAATCAAAACCCTTTGCCCCCCCCCCCTACCTCAATTACTAAGGCCACAATACAGAGATATCGCATGTCCACATTTCTAGCCCATGCGCTGTTAGTAAGGCATTTACTTGATCCTGCGACGCGGCGCTGACATTTGACATGCCTAGCGGTTCTGAACCTGTGATGCAGGCATAATGGTGGCTTTCGCGACCAATATTATCCATGACAGGAGGATTTCTCCACAACTCTGGCTGTCGCCTCATGAGGCTGGTTGTTATAATGACCGGTGAAACGTCGTACTCGAATTGAAAATGTTGCAGTGGGCTTACCCTCCAACATACCGATGTGCTGAACTAGTAACAAAATCGCTATGTTTTGTTGACGTGACCAAACTTACTCGTTGGCTGTGTCGGGTGGTGGCGGGTTTAACGACACATTTATATTTACGCGATCTAACCTCCCCCCCCCTTATCCTGTAGAACGAGTACAACATTTAAGGACACTACAGGCGTGATCGCAGCAATCGCTGCTGTTGCTGCAAGCAACATCGGGATACGCTGCACAACAAGAGACCGTCTGGCTCTGCCCCCTGTCCCCTCGAAAACCACGGTGCTTCTCAAAGCTGGAGGAACGATGAAATTGGATTTGGGGCAGCGATAGCTCCCCGACTGCGAGCGGTCCTCCATGGGTTTCCTGGTTACGAGTAAGGGGATCTTGTAGTACTTTAAACATTCATCTTGCAGACATCATTGTTCCACGGCTTGTTCTGTTATCCTTAGCCAAGGCTTACAAAGCAATCATTTTTAAAAGCCAAGAATAATAATCCTGCATATATATTTTTAATGAAATGCATTTTTTTTTTTTACACTCTTAACAACGGAAATTAACGTGCTCGTAGCGTACACACGGCGGTGTGGCGTTACATCTTCCTGTGCGTATTGGATCAGAGCGGCGCTACGATACCTTTGGGAAATCCACAAACGCTAATTCTGCTCAAGAATAGACTCTCTCTCTCCCCGGCGTGGCTCGCCCATGCGTATGTTGGGACTGCATCTCAACATTGACATTTACACTAGACCGCCAAGCCTCTGGTGCACACTTTGAGCCAATGGAAGGGTCCATCAGGACGGAGTCCCCAGCAGAAGCGGTGTCTGTGATGTTCCTGATCTACCTCTCAGCTGGATGGCGTATCTACGTGTACTGGGCAGCCCTTTCGTGGATCCGCTTTTGGATGAGGCCCTCATCACACCGGTGAAAAAGAGCTTTGCAGCTCATCGGATTCCTCCGGTATAAATATTCTGATTCCGATATTGACCATTCTGCTGTCCCCGACATGGGCACGTCACCTATAACACCTGGTATTCATGACGCCCATCCAAGCACTGTCCAGGTTCAATAGCACTGCATGATGTATTCGTTCAGAATTATATATGGTATATATACTGTATGCATTCAAGTGTAAATAAAAGACCTCTTCATTGTATTCTTGTAAAGTATCCATCAAGAACTTTCAAAATTCCACATCTGCCAAAACGCAGCAAGTTAATAACTGGTATCACTGTAAATCTTTTCTGCATAGCTGTGATGCGGGAAACACTCTTTAAAACGCTCAAATAATCCCATGTGCTCCACTCCACGAACAATGTTCAACACCATACCCGGGTCAGTGACCGACAGGAATTCTCTCCAAACTCGACAGGGTGGTCCAGACGTCCTATAACCCACATTTCATTCTCTAAAATGTCAAGTTTTTTTAAGGGTTATTTAAAACAGAAATGAATATGCAAAGGAAAATTTTTTTAGCGGTTCATTAATTGGGGGTCAAGACATCTGGACCACCCTGTAAAGCAGTGTCATGTTATTGTGTTGCTAAAGCTGCGTTGGGACACATTTGCATTTTCAATTAGAAATTAGACTTGGAACGTTTTTGCACAATACACTGCAGATTGGTTTGGTGCTGTAAAAAGCGTATAACTCCTTGTGTATTATCATCTTCCTATGAACTACATACACAAATACAAATTAACAATCTTTTTTCAATCCCCTGCTGGATGGCCCTTCCACACCGCGTTCGGTAGGATTGCCACCTGTTCCGGTTTTCCCAGGGATCATACTCTCGAGACAGCTGGGGAAATCTTTTAAGTTCTCTCTTCTTCCTGTATTGAGATATTCTTCTTCTCATGCACGTCAGTTGGCAACCCAGCATAAGGGTTGTTTGACCATACTTTACCACGTTGGTCAGTGCAGGCTGGCGAAGGTGGTGTGGTGGGCAAACAGACCTCAGTTCAGATATCACCACGAATCGCACGCATGGCCAGACATCGAACTTAAGTGGCCAGGTTCGAAGTGCAGTGGGGGCAACCATTGGACCACGCTGCTCCACTTCCAAAATACAACTGCTTTGCGTTGTTGTCATTCGCCTGCACCTCCGACTAGCAAGGTCGGCTACGTACGGTGCGAAAGAAGTCCAACATACGTACATACAACTTGCAGCGTAGTCAGTGCTTCATAAAAAAAAAAAATGTCAACGCACGAGATAAACGTGTGCAAAATTAACGGAACGAAACAATTAAACCACACGACGACAATACAACCATGCATGTTTATTCGCAAACTTTTACAACATGAGAAACCCAACCACATATATTCGCACAAGCACTGTAACAAAGTCTGAAAGTTATTCGCCTTTTTAAGATACATAATTGAGCGACGTGTGCGTGCAACACACACTGCAGCTAAAGTCTTTACTTAAGAGTAGAACATGCTTGTGCGGTAAAGCAGTTGTACCTTTTCTAAAGAAAACAATACAAAGGCACCTTGTTAATAATCATAAGGAGATCCAGGTGGTACAATTATACCACAAAGTAGCCTTTTCCCGGTCTGCACAAGATCGATGCAATACCGAACATCACTAACGTATTAGCCAAGTCAATGCATGCTCTTTTGCACTACCCAGTGGTCATTCAGCTCCTTACCATATAATCAATTAACCAACGCTGTTTATTCAAGGGCACACACCCGGGGCAAACCTTCCAAGAGTGAATCACATGCAAATTGCATGCAAATCAGCAGATAGTTGTAAGCAAAAGGAGCGAATTATTTAAATGTTGAAAATCAAGTACAGGACATTTTTTTAAACCTATATTTTCACTTAGAATTAACAACTTTGGCAGTTCATGCAGTCCCAATTGTCAACTATAATCAGAACAAGGTTTTATATTTGCTTAAACTCTATTGTACAAACTGTGTATTGAACTTCTTTCGCACTGTACGAAGCCAACCATGCTAATCGGAGGTGTTGATTGCCTGGCTTGGCTGATAGTATCAGCAACAGGTCAAGTCAGGCCTGAATGCTAATACCTGCTCTTTCCCTGCCAAGTAAAAATGTTGGAAAAACGAAATATAGCCATTCACAGATGAGTTGAGTTTCTACGTTGCCACTGCATGAACTAAAGCTAAACATGTTCTCACATTGTGACTAACCACATCACTGTGAACGTACTGCGCATCCCAACTACTGCACACGTGTTTAAAATGTGCAAACGTCACGACTGCTTGAAACGAGCGCTTTATTTACGTCACTAATTTGTAGCCCACACATAATTCGATGTTTTTAACCTTATGCACATCGTCTCTAAGTACAACTTCTAGTAGCTCAATGCCACGGACTTCTCGAACACTTTTGCACGGAGTTAGCTGCGAGATTATCAAGTTACAGCCGGAGATGTTCACAAGTCAGTCACGTAACCAACACTGACCCATAACGGATCACCCCGATCAAAGCTGCACAACTCATGTGCGGGACTTGCGTGGTAGTTTGTCAAACGAAGCCCAACCTTGACATACAAAGGATGAGGGAATTAACGTTAAACTGATGTCCCCTGGCAGGACCCATGAGCAGCAACGGAAACACAAGGCAGACCCCCAACTTGTACAATGGGGCCGATTCACAAGCAGCTTTAGCCAACACCTGGGAAATGTTTCAAATTGGCGTTAAAAGATCACGCGGGGTGAGAGTTTGTGGTACATTTTCATGCATTAAACGCCGACCCAAATTCACCTCATCCCCTCCTCCTCGGTCTTAATCAGACCTCTCATTACGAAAATACCTCAATTAATTATAAGGTCTAACAGGTGAATAGGAATTTACTGTAAAGCATGCCCTGGTTTATCGTGTAGCATATCAAACAGGCTCCCAAAAGACCTGGTGTTTATGCCGGCCCAATACCTCCGCCAAGCACATTCATTGTTTTTTGCTGCAACACAAAATAATAATGCAAAAGCTTGCAACCCCTTCTGCAGAGGTTCAACACACCGAAAAAATTGGTGAAACGTGCCACGTCGATTTAACGCTTCCAATTCCATTTTACACGACAAAAACAGCTTTTCCACATTCAATACAAATTAAAAAGATTACAAGATTTTGGGAGAATTTTTTTTACTAAACTTTTAAAACAGAAAATACAAACCCATGCATGGCAGCAACGTAATTATGCATTGCGCGGAAATATTAAACTACACCGTTAACTGACTCCTCCTTAATATACGTTTCATGAACACAATGTGCACCGTTTAATTAACAATTTGATACCTAACGTTTATTTACTTCTAATATTTTTTATATATGCTAGGTTTATTTAAGAATGTGTAATTATATCACCGAGTATGGTAATGTAAGTAGTGGTTTTAATGCAGAGTAAGAACATGAAATTTTAGCAACAAGGAATGTAGACCTTCACACTTTTAATACATAGTTTGAGCAAGACTAAATGTATTAATGTCCACACACCACAATTTTATTATTGCTCCGTTGTTTGGTCACGATTGGCATACGAATGGATGTATTTACCTAATATAATACGGAGCTATTAAAACACTGTTGAATACGCTTTCTCATTAACTTTACATAAGCGCACCACACAATTTCCAAAATAAAATTTTCTTAACAATGCTTAATCTCACACCATTAGTTTTCAGCACATTACTTAAAAATACTTGCTTTTTTAAAATAAATATATGAAGGTAACGTTTTCGAAACACAGTATTTTAAGAACTGTGTACGCAGTGATAACTGTACTACAAATATTAGTGGGTGGATTATACGTGAACATTCACTTAATTCAGATTATACGCGAATCTGAAAGAAACATTCTATGAAAAGGTTTCGTTTCTGATCGCACCTATTACGCTAGTCTGCGAGTAGGGGGTGACAATTTCTGTGTGTAATCCGAATTGAATAATTTGTGGATAAATTTCGAATTTGCCAAGTTTTGACTGCCACTGCACATGATTGTCCAAGTCTTGCGAATGGCATCATGGTATCCTTAACGTCCACTGTGTGAACCAGATGGCGCATTTTTGCGGTTCATACACCCACAGTATTAATCAGGGCAGCATCTGGATTCGAATTGTGAACCTCTGCAGCAAGTGGCAAACGCTGTACCGCTATCCCACGTCACCCCCCCCACCCCCCATTTAGGTGAAAATGTTGCAGGTCGGGCTGTGGTTTTGTACTCTGCCTACCTCCCAATTGTCTAAACATGTTATTTTAAAAGTAGATTACTTACTCCAGTTAAATATATTTGTTTTTCAATGTCAGTGGGCACAGGCTGCCAGGAAGAACCTATAAACTATCACTCTTGCAGCGAATCGTGCAGGGTTACTTGAACGGCAACACCGGTAAAACAAAAAAAAACTAAAACCCGCTGAAAGCAACAACCGACAGAAAATAAATAATCAATACTGTTACTAAAAGTAACAATGTTTCTTCATTTAAAAAAAATTCGTATTGTGTAATCTCAATTAAATTCTTACCACATTCAAACATATATGTAAATAGCCGGTGTACAACATATATTAGCTCCGCAATTCAATTTATTTACTATTAACTTGTTGTGACAGCATACCTTGTGTAAGACACAAAGTGACTTTTGGCATTTTAGATACATATATACAAGCACTGTGTACGAACTACAGCAAAAGGAGTACACTATTCAGGATTGAGAGCTGACGTTTCACACTTTGCCAAAGCGATTACAGCAGCGCTTAAAGCCAAGTCTCTTTTCTTTTTTTGAACACTTAGCATTTGCTGGCCACACGTTTTTGTTAAGTTTGCTCGATGAAAACCTACGGTGAATACAGACCGGACACGAAACACCAAGTCTCCATTCAGCCGAGAGAAAAAAAAATACATCTTGTGTTTTACTACCACGCAAACCAAGTCAAGTGTGGCAAATAGTGTGCAATGAAAGTCACAGTACATCAGTGCAATAAACATTAACACCATCGACCACACATCACAGTGTAGGGGGATTTTAGAACACAAGGGGCCGTCTGTTTTCCACAAAACACCTGGCATTAAGTGGCACTGCTTAGTCGCCAATTAAAGCTGTGTATATATGTCTACAAAATGAAACCAAAGTTTGTAAGGTGTGAAGTGTAATTACGATGTTGCTTCATTCTGAATACAATTGTGAAAATGTTCAACGAATATACTTAAATACCTCCCATAGCGTTGACATGCATTGTTCACTATTGCAGTGAAAATGGAATGGAGCAGGTTTTTTTTCTAGCCATTCACAACAACTGCACAACCCCAAGTGTGCAGAGGGGGGGGGGGTGGTCATGAAAAAAACTATAAGATACACAATTTTGCATTGTTTAGCTAGCCTCAATATCACAGCAACTGTATACCCACTAGTTATCATAGGATAAAATAAATTAAAATAATGTTCAGTACCACATTTTGCCTTTTTTTGTAAAATAACACATTGTGTGCAATGAAAGAAGTTTAAAGGTCTAACTTTAATGAGGATCGCGTATTCTTCAAACTATTTCCTTCAGAAGCCACCTTTAATCCAGCTCTCAATGTCTATTGATCACAAACGTGGAAAACGCCTAACAATATACATATCGGCCGAGGTAAATAGCAGACAAGGAATGCCGGAATGGAATGGCATCCGAGCGATAGCAGATGTGAGGACTGTTGACCCGAGGCATGTGAACACCGTCCTTAAACGCATTTCACGAGCCAATCCCACTGTGACGTCACGCTCTGCAGACCAGCCACGAATTGGTCCCACAATATCAACGGGGCTGGCTCGTGAACGTGGCATTAACGTGAGCTGCTGCGAATCGGCTTACAAGTCAACCACCCCGGAACTCTTGTGCGAGCCGAGGCGAGCCTGGCGGTGGCTGTGCATGCTTCTTAAACGACCGGTGCAAAAGTGCCGCACGCTCAGTTGCGCGTGGACCGGTACGGAGGGCTGGGCTGGTCGGTCTGCCCCTCAGGCTCTGTCCGCAATCCGAGGCCCGCCCTGGAACACTGCGGCTGGGTGGCCGTCGCTCCCGCCGCCGATTGTCCCTCCGCGCCGTGCTGCTCGCCCGTGCTTCTCAAGGCTCTCAAGGCGCCGTCCCACTCAACCATCTCCGGGTGCTGGAACTTCCCTGCGAGCGTGGAGATTCGCGCAAACACTCTAATGCAGCGAATTGAAAATAGATTTTTTTTTTTTATTATTATTCGAGAGTTGATTCTGTACTATTTTACAGCACGCTCGCCAAATCGAGTTAATGTACGTTATGCTTCCGAGTCTAGTACGTTTGTAATGTTTAAACATTTAATCATAAACAAATCAACAACTGGTATGCAATCGAAACGTCGTACTCTGTTATTTCATTTATTTCCTTTCCACGTGACTTTGCCGTAAGAACCAAAGAGTAATTCCTGCAGTCACGAAAGCTTTAAATCAAGTTTGGTGTCTCTTACCTTTAAAGAAATGGTGAAAACTAAAAAAAACATTCATATACAAGTATATAGAAACGTGTTATCTGTGGTATAAAAATATCCATATATGTTGGAATTAAGTACAGTTCTCATATTGCCAGAATATATATTTTTTTTCAAATTATAAGAATCACCTCTGCAAGATCACCTTTGTAACAGAGCTGTTGCTCAATTGCACTTGCGTGTTTGTGCCACATATACATTACCTTCTGTGGAGTTGTAAAAATCCTGGAGCTCTCCCGGACGATGGTGAGTCTGCTCATACTCGTACGCCTGAAAGATCATCTCAAATCGATCCAGGTCCTTCACGAGCTTGGCCTCCGCAGACCTCTGATATTCGTACTCCTTTGAGTAAAACAAAACAAAAAATGCAGAAGCTAAAGGATGTGATTTGACAGCGATTCACTCACAAACCCAAGTGAAGATTTAAACCTTGCTTTTAAGATTCCCCAGAGCAAGTGGCTTTGCTGTGGAATGAGGATTGTGTGGACATGTTACCTCATGTATGAAAGCAATGCAATCATTGCCGAAGGTATACATGGTACATACCTCCCACAAGCTATAAAGTTCCTTTCCAATTTCTTCATCTACCAAGGTTGAAATGTGTTTCATGGCATCCTACAAATGGGAAAAAAAACATTTGCATTGCAGTTTAAAGGTGCAGTGTCATTTCAAATGTTAACTCTTTTCAACATTTGTGCAGTACCTTCAAATGTACGAGTCTGTTTCAATACTTAACAAAGTGTATACAGAAAATACACAGGCAGAACAACAATTTGCACGGTGAGGATTCTTTTAAACTTACACAAATAAAAACGTACCTAAATGCCATCAGACTATAACCAAAAGTCAAATGATTGCTATAAAATTAGAAAATATTGTAAAAATTAAGGGCCAGACACAAAAGCCTTCAATATGTTACTTTGTGAGCATTAGTTGTGTACTCTGTACCAGAGCATCAACCAATCATAGTGCAACAACATAAGCAAGATACCTCTTCTCTGCGATGTTTTTCCTCCTTGCTGACGTTATCAGCTGGTGCAATGTCCCCCACAATCGACTCTGCCATGTCATGCACCAGAGCCAGCTTCATGCATCTACACAATAACTGTCATTATCACATGGGCCATCCCCACATTTCCTGAGATTCATTGCTACTAAGAAATGGAAAACCATCCCAACTTTAAAGGAATGTTTACATTTCGCTGTAGCTGTTTTGGACGGATAAAAGACAGTTAACAATGTTTTTACTGGAAGATGCATTTTGTCGTGAAATGCTGTGAATGGAAAGGGCTGGTGCCCAGTTTTACATAACAGTTGACACGAAAATATTACATAACTTCTACAAGAATGGAATAATGTCTCTCAATGTCAGTACTTGGTTTTTGCTAAACGCTGCTATGAGGCTTCACGTAAACAACGCGATTCTACGTAAAAACTGTCCAAAGTTTGCTTTAAATATGTGCAAAACTATGAGGAAAGTTCACTTATCTACATGCCAATAACTGTTAAACGGCAAGTTCACAATCCAATGCAACACACTCACTTGTCCTTGTTGAGACACTCATCACGAATGAGGAAAGCCAAAATGGCCATCCTGTACATGTGGTCAGCCACACTTTCTGGGTCTGGCACCCTTCTGTAGATCCATCCAGTCCGTTTGACGTTCTGAAATAGAGGTCAAGGTATCAGCTTTAGTCAAGCTCAAACAATAGGCGAGATGTCCGCATCGGAGCTATGGTTTGCCCTGCGTGCAAGAGGGGACTGTCCAAGTCCCGTCATGGTGTAGATGTAAACATGCTGGATTTAAAGTGCAGAGTTACGAGCTACAATTCCCGCCAAAGGTGCTTGAAACATTATCCAAGGTTCTTTAATACGCTGTATGCACGTGCCCATGCAGAAAAGTGATATAACTGCACTCAAGTCAGTGGCTTTTAACTTCTAGTGCAACAAATTCTGGGACTCCCACTTGACTGCCACCAAGACAGGGGAGACATCTTTAAAATAAGGTGGAGAGAGTGAAAAACGGCGTGCAGGGCACATACATATTTTACACCACACTCCATTCACTCTGGTGTACTGTAGTTTCCAAGTAATATTCAAAATCTGAATAATTTCTATCATGCGGTTACATGTTATGTAAATAACAAACCCAAATGCAATAAAGATCAAGTCGCAATTGAGGGGAGAGAATGCTTCAGGGTAGAGACAACCCATGCACTGCAGGAACCGGTTAAAGTATTTTGTGCATGATAACAGTCCCAGGAGAAGGCTGCCTGGCACAGTTGTATGCCATCTCCAGATGCCGGAGGCCATGATAAAAAATGCAAAGAAGATGTCAACACAGATACATCAAATGCTTTCAGCTCAAGCGACAGTAGGACGTCAGCTATCAAGGTTAATGTTAATGGTATGTAATAACTTGCGTTTTTGTTTCTTTCGGTAACGTCACGCAAATATAATTTTTTTTAAAGAATAATACAAGACCGCTTGTGTTGCGATCGAAACGTCGTGGTTTTTTATTTTATTTTAAATTTATTTCTATTTACTTGCAATTTAGTTTACTATTTTTATTTTTTATTGGAGGTTTTTTTGCTTTTATTATTTTTTTCTTTCTATTTTTCTATTTATGTGACTTTACCGAAAGAATCAAGAATATGAATTCCTGCAGTCACAAAAGATATAAGTCAAAATGAAATAACTTGTAAAACAGATGTTGAAACGTGTTAAATGGTATTCTAGCCAATGTACAATTCAGCCAAAATGCTTCCATGTTTCAAATCCAAGGCTTTGTATTCATACACAACATCATTACACTAAACAAATGCCATGTATTTTGCCCAGACATAACTGAAAAGTAAAATCACTCCTCCCACTGGAATTATTCACCAACAATGATTTACAATGGGTATTAACCAAACACTCTAAAACACGTTTTTAAATGTGGAGGAAAAAACTGGAGGACCCAGAGAAAAATCCACATGACCACAGGGAGAACATGCAAACTCCAAAAATACATGCGTCAGGGTTGGGCACGAACCCACGACCTCCTGTATACCAGGTGAGGAAATTAACATTGCCACCGTGGTGCCGCAAAATTATAAATGATTGATGCGTGCCATTGGAGAGGCGCTGGGGGGGTAGCCACATCAGTGATATAATGACCATTAATAAACGTGGGCCGAGGCAGGTGATGTCACGAGAAGGGATGATGAATGGTGGTCAAGACTAACAATTGAGTGGCAACTAAAGGAGGGAAAATGCCCCCGAATATATCTATCTACTGCAGAGATGGAGCCATGAGACCATCTCTTGTCCAGGACCTAGATGGATGTTGCATCGCAAGACCATGAAATGTCAACAGATTGGGGAGGCTTCTTCCAGCAGTAGATAGATCTGAGCTGATGACTGTGACTAAAATATACCTTAGGTGGTGTCATTAGAAAGTTCTTGCTTTGGCCCAAATGTTGCATTCCCAATTAGAAGCAGGAAACTTGCTTTGTCCATTTAATCCATAATGAACAAATTACTCTCAGTCATCGGTCTACTGGATTTTTAGACCACTAATATCTAGCAGCATTTGGCTAAGCAAGCAATCCCTGGACCGGTTTTGACTTTCTGTGTCTCATCAGTAAAGTCAAGCTTGTTAATAAATATGCTGCTGGGTTACCAGATGTTATTGGCAAGAGCAAACCATATTAAAGATTTGTCTTGTTGAAAGCAAAAAGTTATTTATATACAAACTCAATGACCGTTGCTGTGGAGCATTAAGGATATTTATAAGCGGAACTCTGTTCTCTCTCTAAAGCATAGACAGTAGACTCTCGATTATCTGCTTTTATCCGATTTGCGGATTAATCACATACTTGAGATTTTTACATAAATAAATAACTCATGGATTTCCCCTTATTATTTTTCTATCTACGTGGCTTTACCGAAAGACCCAAAGAATATATAATCTAAAAACAGTTATACACTTATTCTTGGAAATGTGTATTATAAGTCACGTGCTTAAACCGAACAATTGTTGCTCCGGTTAATCCAAAAGCCACGTGATCGGCCCTACAGTTCAGTAGCTGCAACATGTTTACAACAGTGGGCGGAGTTTGATTTGATTTTCATCGGCATGGCCCTGCGATCCACTTCGTGGGCCGAGTCTTCTGCGCGGAATCGGGGAAGTATTATCACGGAGCATGCCCATCGATTGGTCGATCGTTAGTATTGTATACCTATATTTGTGGCTTCTGGCAGAGATCCGGGGAAATTTATATTTTTGAATTATCCTCAATTTTGAATTATCCTCGGCCGTTCTCCCCATCATTAGCACGGAAATCGAGAGTCTACTACACTGTTTAGTTCATCGGTATGTTATACCCGTCTGTAAATCCCACAGACTAATAGGGGGGGGGGGGGGAAACACTTGTACTTTTTACTCAATTGTAATTACACACGGTAGTTACTTGCAGACCGGGACGGAGTAGTGAAGTCACCTCGTGCCGCACACGGACACTTGCCGTATAAAGGTTGAAATGAGAGATGACAGGGCGCTTTGAGATGCGAAGGAATTCAAACGCCCTATAAATGCCAAAAAATTTACTTTAAAGTTGTGGATGATTCTACCCACCCATCTCATCATTACTGCACTGTGTTCAACCACTCCACTGGCAGGTCACGATATTCTGCTTCTGCACTCTCACTTCTCGATTCTTACATGTATTCCCATAGTCTCTTTTTGCCAAAAACTCCTAAATGAGACCTTGCTCAATTCGTAATCACTCGCATCCATTTCAACTGTTGATTGTGCCGTGTTGTGGCTGGCCGTTTTAAAAAAAAAAATAATAATGGTTCACAGTAACTCGTCAGCTGCCTTGCGTCATTAAATTAACGCAAAGGAAAAAGATGCAATTATAAATCATGTATAATTAATTATAATCGCAGCCAATCGCATGCAGGATTGAAGGTCACAATTATTGTATTTAGATCCACGAATCGATTCTCGTTGTCCCAATGCGGTTTGGGTACTGTAGCCTTTTGTTACCGGCAGAGGCGCTGCGGTTAAACTCCGCGAACCTGCAAATGTTACACAAACTCATCGCGTTTCAATGAACCACCTACAGCACCGCGCATGTGAACTGGGGCTGTACGCCCCGACTACGATTCAACTCGATTCCTCCACCTATGATCGGTACAGGAATCAAATGTACAAATCGTTACTTTTATTTTATGATGCCTCCTTTGCCAGTAACAAGAATTAGTAAATAGGTTTTACCCTTTGTAACTGGCACAAAAAAAACTGACACCTTTATTCAAGGCATCATGTCTGCAATAACCACAACACAAGCAGTCAAAATACAAACAAAAAGACAACTCTGATAATAATATGCACTGTCATTGAATTTGAAGCCGTCTCGGGTGTGGACCAATCAAATTCAATGACAGTGCATATTATTATCAGAGTTGTCTTTTTTGTTTGCATTTTGACTGCTTGTGTTGTGGTTATTGCAGACATGATGCCTTGAATAAAGGTGTCAGTTTTTTGTGCCAGTTAAAAGGGTAAAAACCTATTACTAAATCGTTACTTGCTTGCTTACCACAGTACAGTTACAAATGTAAAGAGCAATTAACACAACCACAATGTTTTTTTACCTCCACGCCCGTCAAACACTGCCTTCAAATAAAATTATCGGCGACGTTTCGTGCAACGGCCCTTGTTCGTGTCAAAATGTGGAATGAAACTGAAACACAGCTGCCGGCGGTGGCGGCGGTGACTAGGCCCGACTGTGGGGCCGCGGTTGTTTAGGGGGGGGGGGGGTTACGTTGGGGCGACGTTCGTTGATGTCGGGCGACGCCAGGCGACGTCGGTACAGAAGCAGCAGACAACGTCGAGCGGGAGGGGTGGTGAGGAATGGCGCCGCCTCAACAACGCGAAACACGAACCTTCAGCTGCCCGACAACTTTGATGAACTCGAAGAGCTTCTGCATCCGCGTGGCTCCTGACGCCATCTCGAGCTGCTGCGACGGCGACACGAGAGACACGCTGGCGCCCCCGCCAACTCCGGCCGGCAGTGCCAACGAGGCTGGTGCCACGCACGTACGCGAGGTTTTTTTTCTCTTTTCCCCCCGCCGAGTTACGAGCGCAATGAATGGGGGAGGTGGGATCCGCGTTAGCCAAGGCGGACTTGTCTCCTTACAGTAGTGACGTCATGTCGGGGAGCGACGTGACGACACTTCCGCAGGGGTTTGACGCAACGTCCGCCACCCCTCGGCCCCCCCTTCGCGCCACCCCCCCCCCTCGCTCCCCCCCCATTCCCTGCCCCCCCTCGCGCCCCCCACCCCTTCGCCCCCCCCCCAACCCTCTCGCGCCAACAAGCTAGACGTGACGTCACCCCACAGATAACGGATATAGCGTTGTGATGACGTCACGACTGCGTGATCGATTGCCGCAGTGTGAAACGCTGCCGGGTGACGTCATAGCGAGTTAGAAAAATATATATTTTTTAAATATTCATTTGACGATCTAGAAGGCGTCTCATTAATTGACCCTCCACCAGGAAGCTAATCGATTAATTGTCACTATTCAATTGTGCTTTATATACATATCTTTCGTTTTGCCGCCTCGTTTACGTTATCGACATCGGCACTGAGAGAGCTTTTTGGGGGCCTCCCTAAAGGTGAAATAATTTTAGTGGGTGATCTAAATTGGAATTGGCTAAACCCGCCGGCCGTGGCCACAAATTTTACAGATGAATTTAACTTGTTTCAAGTAATAAATGTCCCCACAAGACCCAACCTAAAAAATCCGGGACAGTCAACTCTGCTTGACGTCCTATTGACAAATGCCCCTCACAATTTCGCACTGACTGGTGTTCTGGGTAATAACCTTAGTGATCACTCCTTCATTTTTGGTGTGAGATCATCAGCCAGACCCAAAGCCCCCCCTAAAATTGTTGAGGAGCACTCTTTGAGGCACTTCAGCACTCAGGCATTTACAAATGATGTGCTTCACTCGGATATTGATAAGGTCTGTGATATCCCCAACCTGACTACGGCTTGGGAGACTTTCAGGTACACGTTTCTCCAAATTCTTAACAAACATGCTCCGTTGGTTAGATTTAAAACTAAAGGCAACCGCCCACCATGGTATGATCCTTTGATTACAAAGCTCATGAAAACTAGGGACAAGGCTTGGGCATGTGCTCAGAAAAGTAATTTGGTAAATGACTGGCTAGAATACAGGATTTTAAGGAGTAGATGCGTAAAAAATGCGGCATGCAAAAAATGCCTATTTTTCCTCCACTCTCCTGGAATCACATGGAAATGCCAGGATTTTTTGGAAAACAATCAAATCTATCGAAAAGGCATCCAAAACAGAAAATCTGCCCGTTGAGCTTCACCGAAATGGGGAATATTTTTCAGATCCCCAAAAATAGTTGACAATTTTAACCTTCATTTTTCTGAAGCTGGTAATCTTTTTGATAATGTATTGGGAGTCACCCCTGCTCCTGCAAATTCCTACACCCCTGTCCAAACATTAAACGAATTTAGTTTCCAACCAATCCACTAAAGTAATGTTCTGAAACAACTGTCCTACCTCAAAGGGTCCTCCTCTACCGGAGCAGATAGTTTTCCCGTCTTTGCTCTACTAACTGTTGGTCACCTAATATACAAACCTATAGCCCATATTTTCAACTTGTCCATCAAAGAAGCATCAGTTCCTCTAGAATGTAAACATTCCTATGTCCGTCCACTTCACAAAGGGGGCCCTAAAGATGATCCCAATAACTACCGACCTATCTCAATTTTGTCCCCATTGATGAACATTTTTGAAAAATTATTGAACTACCAAATTAGCAGTTTCCTGTCCACCAACAATCTACTACATCTAAAACAATCTGGGTTCCGGAAAAAATACAGCACCACATCTGCTGCATTAGACTCTTTGAATCAAATTTACAATAGCCTTGATAATAAGCAGTACTGTGCCTGTCTTTTTCTTGACCTGTCCAAAGCTTTTGATACAGTTGACCACAACACCCTGCTTAGTAAACTAAGTTGCCTCGGTTTTTCCGAGAACACAGTACAATGGTTAAAAAATTACCTCTTTTTCTCGCACCCAAACTGTATTCACAGATGGTTGGAGGTCAAACAGTGTTAAGATAACAAAAGGGGTTCCACAGGGTTCCATCCTCGGCCCCCTCTTGTTCTCTCTTCATGTCAATGACTTGGGCACTGAACTGGATCATTCCAGGGTAAATCTTTTTGCAGATGACACGATACTGATTACTGCTGGCCGCTCTCCAGATGACGTGATTGCTAATCTCCAGGGTGATTTCAACAAACTACAACATCAGCTAGTTTCTCTTAAACTAGTCCTGAATACCTCCAAAACCAAGGTGCTATGCTTCTCTCCGGGACTAAAGCAGGAAGTTATTTTTCCCCAATTACATTCCTTGAATAATTATCAAATAGAGCAAGTCAAGATCTATAAGTATCTTGGGGTCATCCTTGATTCAAAACTTAGTTTTGAAGATCACATTGATTATATTGGTAAAAAGACAAAAATAAAAATTGGTTTTCTGTATCGACACAAGCACTGCTTCTCCCCAATGTTCCGTTTGGAATTGATAAAAGCTACCATACTGCCTCTACTTGACTACTGTGACATCGTGTATAAATCAGCCCCAAGTACTGTACTGAAGAAGCTTGATTCCATCTATCACTCGGCCTTAAGATTTGCATTGAACTGCCCATATAGGACTCACCACTGTGATCTCTACATTGGGTAAAACTTAACATCTCTTAATGTTCGACGGCTTGTGCACCAGATCTTATTTATTCACGATGTACTTACAAAAAATTCCGCAGACTACCTACTGGATCTCCTCTCTGTTTCAAAGAACAAATTTGACCTCAGGTCTTCGCTCATTTACCAGCTTCACATTCCCTATTGCCGTACAAAAACTGGAGGAAGGGCCTTTGCTATTGATGCCCCCAGAGTCTGGAATGCTATTGCCAATAAACTGCAACTTGAATCACTACCTATGAGATCTTCACTCAAAACTGCTCTAGAGGAGTTGTACAACCCTAGCTGCCACTGCTATTCAGTGGCCTAAAATATGGCTCTAGATTTTGGTGTTATAATTTATTTATGTAGTTTATTGTAAAAAATTCGGTCACAGTCCCTATGATCACTGTTACATTGGATTTATGCCTTTTATTTTGGTGATTTCGAAAAGTTTTTTTTGTTTTGGCCATGTTTTTGTTTATTGTAGTACGAAGTTAGACTGATGGCCTTAATCTTTTTGTCTTGTGGTTGTTGTTGTTGTTTGACTTGCATCCCACTGGGATTTTTGCACACAGCGTTGGTGTACGGTGCTATTTCAGGAATATTTTGATATTTTTTTCCTGTATTTTCTGTTTGCACAGTCACATAATCACTTTAAGATGTTTTCTTGTTCATGTTTTTTGTTTGTTGCGGTTGCACCCGATTCAAGAGCCGAATGGCTCACAGGGCTATACCAAATAAATGAACTATGAACTATCGACTCGTGAGGGCGATGACATCATAGCGACTATCAACAGCCAGATTATGTCATAACGACTACAGTCTCTTGTGGCAACGTCAAGCGACTGAACTGGGTGAATGACGCAAAAGAACGAGTCATTCCCTTGCAACGATGACGTTATGTAAACAGCGTCGATGTGCTCGTGCGATGACGTCACACAAAATATACTACTTCTGCACGAGCTGCCAGTCAGTGAGTGGAGGCCCTCTCGAATGGCACCACACGTGCGTTTATATTCAGAACATTGTTGCTAACAGTTGAATCATCAGCTGGTGTTTAATATCTATCCCTTTAGATTCCTTGAAATATATTCTTGGTTCTTTCGGTAAAGTCACGTAGAAGGGAAACAAAATAAATATATATATAACAAAATTCTCACGACGTTTCGACTGCAACACAAGCAATTTCTTGCTGTGGTTTTCACACCTGATGATGATTGCTTGTGTTGCAGTCGAAACGTCGTGAGAATTTTATTTTATATATATTTTTTATTGTATTGTTTCCCTTCTACGTGACTTTACCGAAAGAACCAAGAATATGAATCCCTGCAGTCACGAAAGCTTTAGATTAAAAAAATTCCCTGAAATGTGAAGCAAGGGGCCGTCAATAAATGACGTCACGCACCTGGGGGGAGGGGGGATCAGACATTTGGGACGATGTGTGACAAGGGTAGGGGGGGGGGGAGAAATGTGACGTCACATCAAAATGTGCAACTTTAAATAAATATAGACAACACGTTCTACTTAATTAAATAGACTTTGTAATAAATGTTTTCTCCTACAACATCAGAGTGCAGCGTCACATTAAATACGCACTACAATGACAATAGTTTAAAGCGATTTGAAGCATGTTTTATTTGGGAGGGGGGGGGGACAGAGCTTTGTGACGTCATATTTGAGGGGGGTCTGACTTTTTGTGACGCCGTGTGACGAAGGGGGGGGGGGGAAATCGTCCAAAGTCGCGTGACGTCATTTATGGACGGCCCCCATGCAGCACTTGACATTTTCCTGCATTTGCCAGTGGCACCAACAGATGGTGCCACTGGCCAAGTTGGGCCCTTGTTTAAAATACAGCTTCATGGTGTCATTAATGTTGTTTACATTTAAAAAAAACATTCATCAAATAACTGTAGTTGTTAGCTACATCCCCGTAATGCAGGACTCCAATAATAATCATACACAAGCAAAACTCAGTCCAGTGTTAACACTTATAAGTTATAAAATATGTGTTTTTAGTCTCATCAGCTGAGCTTTTTTACTTTCCAGACCAATGTTGCATATCTTTTTTAAAGCAAGCAAACTCTGGATCGGTTTCAACCCTCTGGATCTCATTAGCAGAGTCAGGCTTATTTAACAATACCCCTTATCTAGAAATGACTCGGCAAGTCTCGAGGCTTCTTAAGGAAGGGTCCTGCATTGGGAATTCATACCTGTCAACCCATTATATCAGTGCCTACCTTATTACAGACCAATAGAGACCTTATTTGTCACGCTGTGCCCTTATAAATCCCAACGTTCATCCTACAAAGTCCCATCACAAGGAAGAAACTCAAACAAATAGACAACAATTGTTTGCCCGTATTGCAATGGCCGTATGCCATATGGATCTGAAAACTATTTTTCCCTGTACAAGAACATGGGTAAACGGTATGGGTTGACAGGTTTGGAAATTTGGCCAATTCCATTACAGTATTGAGGATGTGGCAAGAGTTGGGGACATCACGAAAGTATTTATGAAGCCCTCAAAGCAGCTGGGCCAAAACTCGAGGTGGTCAACAAGTGGCAGTGCAGCAAGTGGGTTCAGAAACTCGTTGTGTGGAACTTAGGGCCCCTGGTTTGCTCGGAATTTTATCTGTATACCCTACAGTTTCCTCCCACGCGAAGCCAAACACTCATTGATGGAATTAGCCAAACATTCCAATGCAGAACCCTCCCAAAAATGCTTGAGGCTCATTGAGGCTTTCTTGAGTAAACTAAAACAGTGCAAATTTTTATTTAAAGCTTTCGTGACTGCAGGGATTCATATTATTGGTTCTTTCGGTAAAGTCACGTAGAAGGGAAACAATCAAATAATAAAAATATAAAACAATAAAATTATCACGACGTTTCGACTGCAACACAAGCAATCATCATCAGGTGTGAAAGCCACAACGAGAAAATGTTCTTGTGTTGCAGTCGAAACGTCGTGAGAATTTTATTGCTTTATATTTGTATTATTTAGTTTCCCTTCTACGTGACTTTACCTAAAGAACCAAGAATATAAAACAGTGCAGTGCAATATTTTATATATATTATCAATAATAGAGTGCAATACCACACTGCCTGCTATACAAAAGGCTAACATTCGCAATTTTATGGGATAGTAGTAACTTCCACCATAATAAATCATGGCAAGTACATAAAGGCGTTCATTCATAAAACAGAGCTAAATAGCAGAAGTAATTTTGGTACCATACCTCATTAAGAATGCGTGTTGTGTCTTTCATACGAACAGTATTCTCGCAGCAATTGTTTTGACAAGTACTGGTTTTACAAATCAGGTATTCATTCCTCTAAGTGCTGTTTATTCAAACACACATTTGAAAAATCAATACAATGAATACAAATGACGTGTTCTATATACTGATCAATAAATCAAATTTAGGGCACAGTGAATACGTTGTCTTGCTTAAGCACAACTGTATGCTTGCTCTTCCATATAGTATGAAGTTACATATTCCGTGGCCTGTTAAGAAAAGGGCCGCACAGCAGCAGGAGGTGAGAGCGGTGAGTCCACGCTTGGGCCGCCCCCATTATTTTATTTACCACTTCCGTCCGCGCCTCTTTCCCGCACTGCGCACTTGTCTCAGTCACAGTTTAGGTAAGCCCACAAGCTGACCCCCTAGTAGCCAAAATTAGTAAAAACAAACGTTGCCGTGAAAAAATTGTCTTCCACGAAACCGGTCCCTGGTGCCAAAATCGTTGGGGACCGCTGTTCAAAAAGCATCCAACCTGCTTGCGTCGACCTCTTTATTTAATAGTTTCGAATTTTGATCCTCGTCAGGCGTCAAAAAATACCCTTCGTGTAAAATACTCGGATGGGTTTCCCAGTTGTGTCTCTAACAGATATATTCAACTGCTTAGGAAACAAAAAAACATGCTAATATTTTGAAATCTTATTCATTAAATTAGTCTATCACTCATCCATGTGCATTACCTGCTATAACTTGTGAATCATAAACAAGGACGATGACAAAGAACATTTAACTAAAGCTGAAAAGTGTGTAAAAAAGCATGGAGAGGTGCACACTCGGAAGTGGACCACACGAATGAGAACATACGCAAGTTAGAGACAAAATGCTGACTTTTGATTTAAAGCTTTCGTGACTGCAGTAATTCATCTTCTTAGCTCTTTCGGTATATATTTTATTGTTTCCCTTCAACGTGACTTTACCGAAAGAGCTAAGAATAAGATGTTGACTGTTATTCGGTATAGATTAATGATGGAGTGGCAGCCAAGTGAGGAAACGTGCTTGAGAGAAAGTCCACTGCAAAGACGATTGATAAATTCAGTTTGTGCGTAGGTCCCAGATGGATTGTTGTCCCACTAAAAGCTCGATAGATGGCGATAATATGGGGAGGCCTTCATCAAGCAGTGGACAGATCATGGCTGATGATGATGATAAATATATATTAAGTTAAAAAAAACCTGCACATGGCACATTCCGTTCACAGCACACAAGGTTACTTACTCATGGTGCTAAAAGTGAAATAATTCCGTAGGAAAAAATGGTTAGCCAAACAATCACAATAAATGTTGTACATTCCAAGGATGGCCTCCACCATTACAAAACCTTCTGAATAGATTTCGATTTCATTATCTGAGCTATGTCTCCTACTTTTCAAGGTTAATGTGGCAATAGTGAATGGGCAGAGGATACATATCTGTACCTGTCAGCCCTGTAGCATTACCTTATTTAAGGACATATATAGTCGGTCTCAGCAAACTTGAAATAAATGTTCGAGTTAAGAATGGAAAAGGGGACTGAAAGCCTCCAGTTTCAAAAAGGGGCAATTCAGTACGGCAACCCATGGCAACAAATGTAGTTTGTGACGACAGTGTTGGCCCTGTTTCAACATTTACTCACCAGTCTATTGTTTTAAGGGAAGGTATAATGAACCATAAATAGGTACACTTCGTAATATGGTGATGATTCACGACACCGCGATATGGGAAGCCTCGCGAATATTTCGTGACGACAGCGATATATGCTGGAGTTAAAATACCTTACTGATACAGCATAGTGTAATTCTGGTGGGTGTGGTCCTAACAACACCTTGACAACAGCATCATAAATGTTGCCCCCGGGGGTCTTGTGAGTGAGAATTCTCCAGTTGTGTAAAGTGATGCGTAACAGGTATATTACTTGCATGTTTAATCTATGCGTAGTCAACACAATATTATTATGCAGGAGTTAACGCCACTTGTCCATGGTGATGCGGGACAGAAATATCGCACATCGGATTATCTGCAGGGTTATCCACAAAAAAAAACATTTCTTCTTACGAATTTGCCAATGGACTCCTCTTATCCGCGAAAAATGTGTGGTTAATGGGAAGCTGGTCCACAAGCCTCGGTGGGATATACCAAACACAACTATGACGAAACACCCAACGAAGCAAATAGTAAAGTCAGGAATTAGCAGAAGTGTGTAGTTGTTTGCAAATACGATAAGTAGGCAGGTGGATTCTTGGGAGGTTTAAAATTGTAATGGTCATCAAAAAATACATTACATCCAAGGTGAGAAGAGGTGGCCTTCTTTAGTAACAAAATATGCAATTTTTGAGAAAATCCCACAACTCATTTGGTCAGCGGTCAAAACCCGTCACACTCGAGCACGTTGCCCGTTGAGTATGTTTGTGGCAATTTGTAGTGTCCGTATTTAATTAGAGCAATGTGAGCAGTGGCATACACGTGTGCAAACAGCTGATAACTGTGTAGCACCTGTGGCATTGTCCAGTGTTTGCTTGTGTATGGATAGCACACCGTGCTATTTGCCACGGTATCTGAATCTGTCTTGGGACTCTACTCAAGGTCAACGCAGCCTGAAATGAAGCACCTGGTGCTGTATCAACAGAAACACTGGCGACCTCTGGGGTATGACGCTGGCCTATTTTGATTGATTTACAGCCAATTGCCAATCCGATGCTGGATTAAGGTTAGGCTTCACCACATTGGCCAGTGTGGCCTAGGAAAGTGGGACAGAGGGCTGATGGGAGAGCCACTCGGGCGAGTTCAGATATCAATCACCACTGAGAGTTCCATAGACATGAGTCGAATTCAGGTTGCTGGGTTCACAACACGGTGTTCGAATTACACTGCTTAACCTCCGGTACTGCCTGCTCTGGCCATACAGAGCACGTGCTTGATAACAATACGGTAGCCTGCTGGTTTAGACATTACACTGCTACCTTTGTTTGGCTTTTACACTTTGGGTTTCACACTTGCACAGAGTTGTTGGCCAAAGACTCAGCCTTTGGTGCGCTATTGCCATAACAGATCCATTACCAATCAACGTCCTACGCGAAGCGTGACATTCGATGCTCCCCTCCGCCCATATTCAATGCGACGGGATCCCCGGAGCCACAGTCAATAATGCTCAGAATAATCTTCGGACACCGGGCAAATCTGCGCGAGCGAATGCTTATAACGGTTAGGTGCCCACTTAGAGAGACGACGCAGGCAATACAAAACATGAACCTCGGCGCACGTCAGCTGCGTAATTACAAAGTCCTTGCTCGCCAGCGCGCGCAGGGAGCGCGCGTCCGAACAACAAAGAGCCAACTTTTGCTCTCTCGCGTCTGGGAGTGGAGTGACGCACGCGCGTTGGGCATGTAAGGGGGCAGCTCCGCTGATGTTGGGAGGTGGAGCTCGCTCTGCTCCTAATTCGGGTCGCCAATAAAAAGCCTCCAGCTGCGGTCTCTTGCTCGCATCCGCCCTTCCGAGCTCCCGATGCGCTGCGCTCACTTCGGTTGTCCGTGTTGCTGTAATCTTTTTTTTTGGTATTTGCAGTGTGGAGAGAATTTTTTTTTTAAAAAAAAAAGAGCGTCTCGTCATCTCTCGACATTGGCCCCCGGTGTTACGCGAGATTTTTTGTTTGTTTGTTAGGCTTTTAGTTGTTATTTTTTTGCTCACATTTGTCCGACCACTTTTGGAGTCGTCTCAAAATGTCCAACGGGGTTGACGCCAACGAGCCTTCCATCGAGCTGTTTGTGAAGGTAAGGTCGAATTGTGAACGTGCATCATATTACGGAGTGATGACAACATTTTTGGAAATATCGCTAGCGCCTGTGAATGTAAAGAGACTCATGTCCGTTTACTTCACGTGTCTGGTCAATTCTGTTTAGAACCTTATTCTGACACTATTTGAACACCTCCGTAAGATGGTACGATATTAAAAAAAAAGTTTATTTGACCAAAAACTCTTCATTAACCCTAAAAAGTGTGTGTTATGTATGAATAAATAATACGTGTTCTATGTCTGTAAATACTGTTTTGTTATTTATAATTAACATTGATGTCATATTTTATGATGTGCTGACCTATGATATGTTGGTTGGTTTCAATATGCAACAAGCAAATAATTCCTGCTATGAAATATGTTTTGTTAATACTCGTTAGGCAGGTAAAATGTAAATATAGACATTACTTAATCTGTTAGGCCATGAACATACTTTTTTATTTACTTATGATAAAATGCACATACAGCATTTTAATCATCTTAACCACGAAATCTTAACAGAACATCGTCAAATGTGCGTATTAAAACGCTTGAAGGTGTCTGCAATTCCGATACATAAAATACCCTAACATGAAACAAAGTTTCATTATTCGGAATTAAAATGACAGCGAATAGACATATATATACTGTATATATGGATGAAGTACACGATTCATTATTTAGAAACGATAGTGTCAAACAAAAAAAAAGCCTGGCAAGCAAAGACAATTTCAGTGGACGCAGCTCACATTCCTCAGCTGGACGTGAACATTGGGCTGGGTCAAAATGTTTGGTTCAGGTGTGGCACGAGGAACAAAATAAATAATTAAATGTGCCCTTAACTCGTGTGCACGACAATGACCTGGGGGCGAGACCCACCTGTAACCATTACGCCACTGTAAATAACATTAGGGATGTTTGGTGTCTTGACAAGCCAAGTGCGTGCGTACATTGATAAGTGGAGGAAGCCTTTCGTGTCTCGAGACACCCACATGAATATTTGAGTGAGGAAACGTCTTAATAAAGTAGCCGCGCATTACAGAAGTGCTGTACACAAATTTTGCCATAATCATCAACGCATTTTTTGTTCAATTGATTGAAACGTATTATAATGTTAGATGTCCCGATTTGTGTGCGCGTGTGTTTTATTTGGTATATCGTAAGAAACGGGTGGATATTTCACAGTGAAATGCCGTAATCGTGTAAAGGATGTTCAGACAGCAAGCTGCAGCGATGAATAAACTTTATCAGAAGTAAATAAAGCTGTAAGAGGGCCCTATTGTGCCTCGAGAAAGAAGTCAAGTGGCGTGGACATGCATAACACATGAGGTCATGCCTGCTGCCAAGTGTGGCGACTTTTTTTTTACTTGGTGCTAATACAGTACCACATTTACTTTGTAGGCTTGTTTAACAATGTGAGGGCTCCTGTGTGAGTTATTTTTTTCTGCCCACCATCTATATATAGTGTGCTTCAAAAAAATGTTAACACTTACTATCGGACTCTCGTTTTTAATGGGAGCATGATAATAAATATAATGTTAATAGCCTTAAAAAGTCAAAGAGTCTCCACTTGTTCGCCGTCATTGTCAACACATGCCTCGAATCTTCTCCAGGTGGTCTCCAGAGCCTGGAGGAACATTTCTTGTGGTGTTGTTGCAAATTCTCAGAAGTGTTAAAACATTTTCGAAGCACCCTGTATATGCTGGCCACAGTTTCTGCAGTGTAATTTAACAACAGTGCTGTACACTACGATGCTGTACTGAAATAAGCACTCTAAAATCGATATTATCCTTGATACTTACATTTCCGTATTATATGAATGGAGTGTAAGAGGCAGGATGCTGCAATGGTGTTTATGATGGTTAGCGCCACTGGACTTCAGGAGGATGTTGCCATTTCAGTCTCCTGGTGTTGGCAGTTAAAATGAAGGGGCAAGGTGATGATGATTCTTCATTACAACCAACGCCTCCGTAACATCACGGTCGACTGGCAGGTCGCATGTGGTGGGGTGAAGTGTGGGTACCCTCCACCTCTTTCAAGATGTCTTGCCATCATGGAACAGAATAGTGTAGAGGTATTCACTTGTAAAAATATGTCTATACTGTATATATAAATTCAAGTGCAAATGAAAACAAGACACTCTTTGAGAATGTCACCATAAATACACGCGCGCTGCGTGGCAAAGGGCTGTTTATAAATGAGGTGTATGCGATGCAAATATTTTCTTCCAATGGTTACACCACTAATACCTACCTCAAACATTTCCAGAGCCTTCTAAAACAAAGAGCACTCACTGTGTGAAGTGGATGAGACAGAACTTGGTTCGGTGCAACAGACAACAAGCAAGTCATGTTGTAACCTGTTCAGATTCCAGTAAATTGTACCTCACTACATTTTGTTCTGTGAGAATTAACGTCGAGGTTATAGGTTGCAATGTGTTTGTTATCACAAAAAACACCATTGTGGACAAAAGATCGAATACATTTATGGCTACGCGTTTGCCAATGTTTGCCAATGTTACATTTCAGTAATTACATCATTGTAATGGCGCTTTAGTTTATATTTGTAATCAGTACAGCTAGGTTATATATTCCAATGCATACATCTGGTACCTTACGATGTAATCCTTAGAAATGTTTGTGTACAGTCCTTGTATATACTATGCCAAACTGAGTCTCAACAATGTCTTTTTTGGGAGGATTCTGCGTCGGAAAGACTGGGTAATTTCAAAAGGAATGTTTTGCACATTTTCTTACAAATTTATTCAAACTTGCATTCAACCATATACATCCCACATTAAAAAAAAACCACGTAACAATTATGGGAATTCTTACAGTACTTTGAGTAGAAGGTGTAAACTTTGAATAAATATTACACGGCCGATGACATAGCCCTGCTACATTTTGGTATAAAAACCGTAGTTTTTTTTTTTAAATGTGGTAACTTCCCTTTAAGAGCCTGCAAACGGTATATAGCTGCGTGGTGTTACAAAAGTGGAGCAACGCTGAGCCATAAAATATGGTCAAGGTTCAAACGTGGCGTTGGTGTGCGTTACAAAAAGATGATTAAAGTGACACAACATCATCAAAAGAAAGGACATCACCGGGAAAACTGATAGTCGGATGTGAACTGTTTGTTCACTTCCTATTAAAAGGCAAATACTGGGGTCTTTTGACTCACATATAGTAAAACAAACAGTTTATAAATATACAAATGTTGTGCCCTTTGGACCCCAGGCACCAGATCATAATACACAAAAGAGGCGTCACAATAAACATCACGTATTTCGCAGTAATCGCCATCAGCATGATTACACAGAGGCTCAAACACCCCGCAACTTTAGCATGTTTTTTTCTTTCCACTCCCTAAGGCCATCCTTTCCATACCCTGAACATAAAAGACTCGGCGCAGGCTTTTTCAGTGAGACTGCAGCAGCTGCAGAATGAGGATTTATTGATAATTTCACAGGAACTGTTTACTGTAGTTTGCTACCAAGATAAACGTTGGCCACTGGGCATAGCCACTAACCTTGAAAATACAGCAGGGAGCCAGTGGCTGGGACTGCTGCACACAGGATGGTCCAGCTGTCTTGTAAGGGGCCGTCCATAAATGACGTCACGCGATTTTGGACGATTTTTGACCCCCCCCCCTCGTCACATGGTGTCACAAAAAGTCGGACCCCCCTCAAATATAACGTCACAAAGCTCTCCCCCCCCCCACCCCCAAAACAAGCTTCAAATCGCTTTAAACTATTGTCATTGTAGTGCGTATTTAATCTGATGTTGTAGGAGAAAACATTTACTAAAAAGTCTATTTAATTAAGTAGAACGTGTTGTCTATATTTATTTAAAGTTGCGCATTTTGATGTGACGTCACATTTCTCAACCCCCCCCCCTCGTCACACATCGTCACAAATGTCTGACCCCCCCCCCGCCATAGGTGCGTGACGTCATTTATGGACGGCCCCTAACCCTCAATTAATTTGTCTCTAAAAAAATATTTTCCTTTGAATATTAATTTCTGTTGTAAATAAACCGTAAAAGACATTACGTTTAAGATAATTAAACGCGGGTCACAAGACATCTGGACCACCCTGTCGAGGACCAGGCTCAACTTTTACATGAAATTCTCATTATGGTGATATGAGATGTTGCTCAAATTGCTCACCAATAGAAGGCCAACTGAAAAATGAGTGTGCACTAAAGTGCCCGTGTTCACAAAGAGTGGTTCACAATCACTTTGTAAATATAAATATATAATACTGCAGAACTCCTCTTGTTCACGGTGATGTGGGATACAATCATCGCGGATGTACTGCACTTACCTGCGGGGAGAAAACACACAATGGTGGCTAATCGTGGATAATGGGAAGAAAAGGGCCTCAGATAATGGGTTTTGTGGACCCTGCAGCTCCCGCAGATAATTGGAGTCGTTGGTAATGAGCTCACAGATAACGCCTTCGATTCGCACGGTTGGCTACGTACGGCGCGAAAGAAGTTCACCAACTATATGAACAACATGACACTTGGGATATTCGTGGGTCTTTCGGTAAAGTCACGTAGATAGGTTCAAAGAAAAAAATCAAAAATAACAGAAAACTACGACCCAAGAATATGAATTCCTGCAGTCACGAAAGCTTTCAGTCAAGATTTATATACACTTGGCAGTTGACGCCAAATTAATGGCGTGGTTTCTGTACTGCCTGGAAAATATGTTATAGTCCCTTCTATTGAAAAAAAAACCTCAGCGAGATGCGTGCGTTTGTTTGTCGGCCACACTCGCTGCTCGCTGTGCAAAGCCAGGAGACAAGTCATGTTACTAAAATGAGCTGTGACTGCAAGCAATATGAGCCAGCGGGCACTGTGATATGAATTCGCAATAGCACAGTGCGCCAACTGAAAGCCTATACAGTCCGGCGCCTTGTGAATCCCAATGCAATCATTATCCATTCTTTCTGGTCTTTGAAAGTCTGAAAATATTCAAATCCAATACTCATCCCCAGTATAGGCTGTACATGGCTTACTTTGACTTTCGGAAAACAAATGTCGTTTGTTACATATCTTTGAAAGCTTTATTCTGGGGGGGGGGGGACACACATAAACAGGCATGTAAATTTTAATTCAGTGTCATGACGATATCGAAAACGATACAGGATAGTCAAATTATTTGACAACGCAACCAACGTATTTCCCCCCCCCCCCCTCCCCTGCTTCAATGTTGTTTTATCCCGGTCGAGATACTACACTATATATCTATCATGCACGCACATTAACGAAGACGCTCACGGCAGTTGCTAAATAAGCCCCGTCGACCAACACCGCCATCATTTGGGTCCCCCACGCAAGGACACGGCGGTTTGGGGCAGGAGAATAAGAGGCAAGTGTCTGGTGAAAAGGGCCCCGATTCTCACAAAGGGGCAAGATTGAACTTTCTTTGAGGAGGGCAGAGACTCGAGTCCGAGCCAGGTTCCCCACCCGACCTCATCCCAACCCATGTCACCTTTCTTAACCACCCTGGGGGGGTGGGGGGTGGCTGACGACAACAGAAACACGGCCTGAAGCCCCAACGGCGTAGCAGTCGCAGAGCGACCTCGCAATTATTTAAAGCAACATGTTGTTGTTGTTGTTATTGTTTTCATCCAGGGATAAATTAACGACGTACAAATAAGCGTGGCAGGAAAAAAAGCGCACACACGTGTGCGCGTTTTTGTGTTGTTGTTTGAAACTTATGGCTTTTCTGTCCTGCACTATTTTTCTGTTTTGATGCGGGGGGGGATAGGGAGAGTTTCTCATCATATATAAATTTGAATACATACGTTTTGAAAAAAGTTTTTCTGGAACGGTCATTACCACCCTTTGTGAAGTATCTGTGGGTAGTCTAAATTTGTCGTGTTACTTATTAACGTTCTCTGTACATGGACAACATCGTTATTATTATTATTATTATTTTTTACACCGTTGCTGAGCAAAAGCCTCCATGTTCAAAAACAATTGACAAATATAAGTGGCCGGCAACAAACGCATCATATTGACCGATAAATAATAATAATAATAAAGTCGTGGGTTTGGGCGCGACGCTTGGCGAGGAGGGAAGCTGGGCAGGTGGTCGACGTTCATGGAGACGCGCAAGCTAAAGCAGGCCCACACACCCGATGGTTTGTCCGCTGGAGAGAATTAAGCGATGAAATCAACTCGATTGACCATCGCAATGCAGGACCGCGAGTGATGGCGACGGCTTGGGAAGGCCTTCATCTAGCAGTGGATTTATCATGGCTGACGACGATAACCGATGATGATTGACGATGATGTAAAAATAATATCCCTTTTTTTTGCAAGTTGTCATCGTCCCCTGTGTGGTGGTTATGGGTCGTCATAATTCGTTGTGCATGTGTATTTGTGTTGCATCCAGTGCCGGATTAAGCTAGTGCGGGGCCTGTAGCTTATATGTTATAAAGGGCCCCAAAATAAAAATAAATATATATATTGAAACGCGAATGTTAACTTGCGTAGTAAAGTAATTGTACTTTTTCATTTGCTATACGTACCAGATAATTCGACAAATCGCTAACCTTAAACACCCAGTCGTTCATAAAAGTTGAAGATAGTATAGTACTATAGTAATAAAGCAAGTGCAGATTCACTCAACCGGAATTGATATCTTGAAAGCATTTAGCGCGGGGCCCTTGAAAGTGCGGAGCCCGTAGCACGTGTAGCTACTTTTGCGACAAGGATAATCTGGCACTGGCTGCATTGCTGAATTGTTCTTTGTATTCCAGACAAGTGTGTGTGTGTTGCAATACATTCGAATGCCTTCTGGTGTTTTCCAGGCTGGAAGTGATGGAGAGACAATTGGAAACTGTCCCCTGTGCCAGAGGATCTTCATGGTGCTCTGGCTCAAGGGGGTTACCTTCAACGTCACCACGGTCGACATGACAAAGTAAATGGTCGCACCACCCACCACTGCAAACCGCGCACATGGGCTGAACATGCGCCATAAGTTAATCACATTGGGTTGGCGTTGGCTGGGGGAGGGGTATTTGTGCTTACGTTCAGTCAAGCAAAACATATGCAAACGTTATTTTGAAAACATTAACTGTTACTTCACTGTGAGTCATGTTGACCGATGTGACATCAGAATACAAATCGGGCCTCGACTACATTCCACAAAAATGCAAAGATAAAGATCCCCCGTATAGCCTTAATATACTTTTGGAGCAATTGTGAGTGAGCACCTATAAAAGGCTGGTACGGCACACAAGGGGATGGGTGGCTAGCACCACGCCCGGTCGCCTTTGTCTCCACAGTGGCGATGTTTTTACACACAATACAAGGTACTCATCTGCAACCTAGGGGAGGACCAGGACCGGTTCAGATAATTGTCACTGGTGTTGGCCACGAGCTTGGAATCGAACTCGGCTCATCGGGTTCATAACACGGCGTGCTAACCGCTCCACTACCGTTCCCTGGTCCTGCACTACATGCCACAAACACGTTCACACACACACACTCATCAAACTAAACACATCACTGCCCGTAACTCTGTGGTCTTTTTCAAAATAAAGTATTTCGCTGATAAATTTGTAACGTGCACAAATTTAATTTAAGGGGGACATTCAGAGGACGCGAAGGACACTCACACGTTGAACTTCACCATCCGAAGCATTTTAGTTACTTATCGGTAAAGCCATCACGTCCGTTGGATGTCATCCCAGTTCAAGTTTTCGACGGACCATTTCCTTCCCGCTTTTCAAAGGAAAGTTTTCGACTTCATTTTTTTTCTCTCTCCCTGCTGAAAATTCCGGAAAACCCACCCATTAAAGCGCTGCAAATAGGAAAAGATTTGCGTATCTATTTTTTTCTAGAGTAAATGTTCCCTTTCTGACGTGCGGCCTTTTCAAGTGCCTCTTAGCATCTGCTTCTGAGTGGACTGCATATCCGCCCCTCTTATTTGCTGTAGGATGCTTTGGTCTGTTACACAAGGTCCTGTTTGTAAACTGCTAATGTTTTCTGCTAAATTTGTGAAGCGGATTTGGTAAAAATGTAGGACTTGTCTTTTAGCTGCCCTGCATTATATTTTGTTATATGTACACGCTTAGAAAATATAGTCATATACTAAATACATGATATGCACTGTTAACCATGAGGTGTTTGACACTTTGCTTCCCGTAAGAGTCACTGAGCATGGTTTTATACCTCAGGTTAAATGATGTGAGGTGACACACCTGATTTGTATACATACCGCAGTATTTTTAGCATAACATAAAATATATCATGCAGAAAAAATGCCATGAAATTTTAAGCCACAGTATATAACATTGATTGCAAGATAAAATATAGGTTACATTATGTTTTTGTTTGTCCAGGTGTGAATCATAGGGTGTCACATCTATTTTTAACGCAGTAAATAAACAAAATATATTTTTTTAGTTTACCAGTTTACTCTCTTTGCGACCCAAACAAATGGTCCATGAGAGCATTTGTCTCAACAGACTAACATTGACCAGCATTGGGGATGTTTTCCCAATTCCACGTTTTCCTTAGTATTTGCTTGCGGGAGTGTAGCGGTGGCGCTGCTGTTAGCACGCTGTGCTTTGAACAAGGCAAACCAAAGTTCGATTCCCAGCCACCGCAAACATCAGTAGAAACTTTTACCTAATACGGTCCTCGACTGCCTGCCCCCTCACCAAGACTGCACTGACCAACGCTGATGAAGTATGGTCAAACAAACCCCCTTGTCGAGCAATTAATGAAGGGTTGCTATTTTATTACTTATTAAAGCATATCATAATCTACTGGGTATGGTGTCATATACAGTTCTGTAATATGCAAACACAAAGAGTTAATTAAGTATCATGCAGTACAGGGTCATGCGTAATTTCTTTGTGATATTTATGTCTGGCCAATAAAAGATATTTCTCAACACAAAGTGTGGTCTGCCAACCGGAGACTCAGCAGTCTACTGACGTTCCAAGTTTATTAAGTGTTCGTGTTTTAGGAGTGAACGCAGCCACCAGCGCCTTGTGCTGGTGCATTCTTTGGGAACATTATCTCAAGCTGTTTACAAACGGTCTTCCGTTTGTGTGCGTGCGTTGATTACGTACCACCGGGATTTTGTCTTCGTGGCCATGAGATTTGGGGGCACGCGACGAGACTTTAACGAGCATCATCCATCTCTACCGCCTTCCCCCCCGTAATTGCGACGTGTACGTACAGTAGCAGCTTTTCACTCTAAGTGTCAAATCTAGCGCCGGGCTGGACAAAAGTATGAAAAATGACAGATCGTTAAAGGCAGTGCTGCTCACATGCCAGAGTCCTTCCCACTGCTCGTTGTGTGTAAGCCACTGTGGCATCACCCAATTATTAACTGCATACCAACGCACTTCATTACTCTTAGCAGTCCTACTTTAAGAGAAAACCGATATTATTTCGCGGAGAGGGCTCAGTTTTTGTTACTACGCAAGCTAGATAAGCAGTTTATATGATTTTAAAAGACGACGAAACAAACACTATGCGCTTTACAAATCCAGTATGTCATTCCTGATGACCGTGGACAGGGTTGCGACTCATACATTATGAGTGCAAAGGTCAAAGTGATGTCCTGCTCAAGTAATCAAGGAGGAGGCGCTCATAGCCCGTTTGCAGCCCTGAGCCAGCAGTAGAAATTCCACATTCCTGCGGCAGGAGTGATGCTATCCATAAGACAACCACCGCTGGACTTCCCCAAAAGGTGGTACTCATTTTAATGATCTGTCGAAGGATGATGGGCTAAAGTCAACCCCCAACCAAGATTTGAACTCACGACCTTCCACTGTGAGTCACTCGCTCTACCGTTGAACCAGTGGGCTGGGTAGATGATTATTACTACGCACAGCACGTATTGCAGGTGGGTCTCCTCAGCACTGCTTCGACTCTCTTTGACTCTGTAAATAGCCCCTTGTGTGATTTGACGCTTTTATCCCCGAACACAAATTGGCCAGGAAAAACGTGACTCTGAAGTGCATTACTTTAAACGCATGTTTCTTCTCCATACTTTTTCTTGTCAAACTCAAAGGCAGCAGCAACCCTAACCGGGACACGCATACGGTCGAACAGAACACGGTCAACGATTGCAGTTGTACATTAAAAAATAAACTGTTGGGAAAGTACGAAGTTAAAGGCGAGGTTGACAGTGGAACCTGTGAGCATGAGTAATCACAGCCATGCCCCCCGGACAAGTCACGTCCACATGTGGCCTCCCAGTAACGACAACAAGGGAACAGAAACAGGAACCACAACTGTTCCATCACCCTCATCATCCCCTCTCCTAACCCGAGTTAGGGGAAATCCACGCATCTGTGCATTTTCACACGCCCATGCTGATATGTCTTGACTTGTGGAATGACAATGAGGACATTTCTTATAAATATCCTCCCGAGTGATAAACATCCTCCTAAATTCCTGGAATGGGATATATTAAAGTATATTGTTAAACGATATGCTGAGTGTTTATTGTGTTATCTGGTATATCTCTTCCGTGGGTTTGCATAATTTTGCTGTTTTTTTAAGTGGACAATGTAAAATACACAGAATTCATCCCTCACTTATGAGACACTTTGTTTTGATTGTTTACATTTGTTCCCAGCTGTCCACTTTTCTTTTGCCAGTGCTAAGCTGAAAGCATAAATGGTTAAACTACAAACAAAATGGACACGTGACTTGGAACCAGCTTGCAAAGAGCTGGCTTAATATTTGTTTTAAAAATAACCAGTAATGAGCAGGTTTGCTTTAATGGCTTTAGTGTACCTTTTATTCTTCCTCGTGTGTTGCGGATATGACATGAGGACATGTCACCACATTGTGCACACGTATATGCATGAGAGTCGCACATGCAGCAGTATAACCCGTGCCTCCTGTATTGGCATTCTATTAGCATATTAATAGATCCAACAACACACATATAGCCTTAACAGACTGTTGGAGAAAATTATTTTAGCGAGCAGCACCTATTAAGGCTCGCACTGCACGCCAGAGAGTGATTGGCCAGCAACACACCAAACTGCCTGGCTTTTGTCTCCCCAGTACTGATGCTTGCACGCCACACCAGGTGCTCATTTAAGGCTGAGTCGACCTAGGGGATACCCAGGATGGGGTCACAAACACCAGTAATAAAGCACAGCACTCATAATTCCTTGCGTGCTTATCATGTGACTACCACATCGCATGTGCAGTACGATGCGCTCAACATTGAGTCAAGTCAGTAGCTCTAGAGCTGAACGTTTGGTCGTTATTCTTTCGGCCACCAACTCGCAAAGAGTTTGATATGGTAATGTGACCATCTCAACAAGCAGTAGGGCAAACAAAGAGGCAATTGTGGGTTTTCTCACCGTTTACACAAAGAGTGGTTTTATTTGAATCACCTAAAGCGTCCTAATGTGAGATGCACTGGGTCTCAACCACCCTGAGTATTACCTATGTTGGAGCACCATGACATTTAATTTAAATGAAGGAAATGTGTTCTAGTTACTAGGAATACAGTACGATATTACATGAATTCTAGACATAGCATATTACATGCACTCTAAATAACAATAATAACGTGTAGCCCTTTTATCAAGCCACTGCTGGATGAAGGCCTCCCCATGCCGTGTTGGCCATGGGGAATGTTTTTACCATACTTCTCCATGCTGGTCAGTGTGGGTTGATGAAGGGGCAGCCACGGACTTTGCCAGATATCACTGACCATGGATGTGCGTCGTGGCTGGGAACTTGCCTTGGTCTCCAGTTCCAGAGCACAGTGTGCTAATCACTATGCCATCCTGCAACCTCCACTCTAAATTATATACTGGTTCATTCCCTAAAGCACATGTATAACCTATTTAACAAAAAAAATAGTTAATATTTTCCCATTATTACCTGACTTTGGCATCAATAGCCTCCTGAATATATATGTAATGTCATAGGATATTCAATGTCAGTTTAGAAGCTTTATAGACTGGACAGCCTCAGCACTTTTGTGAACTTTGAAATGGAGTGCTTTTGTCAATAGAGGTTGAAATCAGTGACCCCTAGCCCTTAACATGAACACACAAGCCGTGATCCACCTAGCAACCTCAGTCATTAACAAGACTCTGATCACTGAACCAAACGTTTTGTTGTCTCTGCAGTTAATAATTATTGAAGAAAGCTAGGTTTGCATCTGTTTATTAAGTTTTCCGATACCATATTGCCAATACTTGTTGATTGTGGATGGTCCCAGCCTGGTTAGCGATGACTGTGCAAAATAATAACATCAAATTACATTTTAATCTTAATTTGGCTGATTTTGAACTCTGACAATTAAAAACATTGTTGAGACTGTCATAGGGCAGGTAAACAGCACTCTGATATGGCAGGGCAGGTGGGAATTTTCTGCCCCCCCCCCCCCCCTATATAGGGACCAGAGGTCACTTGAGTGGATCTCTGCAATATCCACATCCCTGAGCCGCTCTATAGCACCACGGCTCTACAAGATATCCGAATGGACTCTTTATTTCAACACAATTGGGATGGAATAGGGTGCAAGATAAAACGACAATGAACATATACGTATGTAAAAATATATAGACCGGGAAAAAGCATTTTATTGATGCAATTACAAAAAAAACACCTTGTGGAAACAACTCAATCAACAGACCAGGTTCCACCGCTGGAAACACATCGCTTCTCCAGAGTGTTCCCTAAGTTCCATACAAATTCCTTTTTTGCCCAAAACCTGTGCACCTGCAGGAAGCCGGCGATCCTGCGCTCCCTGGCCCCTGGATCCCAGCCTCCCTTCCTGACCTTCAACGGGGACGTCCGCACCGACTTCATCAAGATCGAGGAGTTCCTGGAGGAGACCCTCTGCCCCCCGAGGTGAGCATTCGCACACCACGAGCTGATGATCCACTGCTGAATGAAGCCCCCCCCCCCCACGTCGTCAGTGTGGGTTGGTGAAGGTGGGTCGCATAGATTTAAACTACTAAACCATTTTTTTGTTTTACCAGGTAAGACCCACTGAGCTATACAGCTCTTTTTTAGAAGTGCCCTGGCTACAAATAATAGTTCAACGAAGTGGCTTATCACGTGGAAATGTACAGCAGCCAAATACTCTACATGCATGTTTCTAAATGTGGAGGGAAAAACCAGAGGATCCTGAGAAAAATCCACGCGACAATGGGAAGAATATGCAAACTCCAAATATACAGGGGTCAGGATCGAACGCATGACCTCCTGTATACCAGGCAAGATAGTTAACATCCCACCGATGTTGAGAGCATGAAGGTATAATTACATTACCTTATGCTGCCCACCATGTAGCCTCTTAGTATATGGATTGTCACCCACCCTAGCTTTATCAAGGCTCAATCCTGCTTAGCCTTTCAGATTTCATGAGATTGGACACGTTCTGGTTTTAGGCCAACTAAATGAAGATATCCATTCACAATTATCGTATCTTGTAAGGCATTTAAAGTTTACCCCTATAGTTCCATTATTTTGCCCCACATTTACGAATTTTACGTAATAGTATATGTATAATACGTAAATATGGGACTAACACAAAGGGAGCGTAGATTAGTTCGCATCCTGTTCTGAAAACCTCTGCCCAGCCCTATGTGTAGGCACAGGTCTGAGCCGGTTACTTTTTGAGCATTGCAGTGTATTTTTTAGGCCCTAAATGCAAGATCATACATCAAAGTTGCACAGCCACATCAATTATGGAACTGTTAAGACACGATGTGGCTCAGAATTTCATGTTGACACAAAACCTTTTGCAAATATTCCAAAGTAATAAAAGGGCATACCAAAAAAATAATTAATTCATATTGTGTAGATGTCGCTGGCTGGTTCAGAGTCCAGAGCAATGAGCCAGAACCGCTGAGACACTGGGTTAAAATCTGGGCAGCCACCCACGATTAAACTGGCTACTCACGTGCAGTGAGCTCATAGTCCTCAACCCAGTCACCAATTGGCAAAACAAATTTAGCCTTGCAGTATGTTTGGCTAAAGTCCCAGCTCTGAAAATAAAAGTAAAATATTGGTATGACTCTCATGTGAGTCTCATTATAAAGAGCATGAGAAAATGCAACTATTACTGTGTAAAGGATAACGAATCCACTTGATTAATTTGTTTGTGATAGGTCCAGTGCAAAATCTCTTTTGCAGGCCATTCTCTGACACGTGGCAAGCTTCTGTGTGCCATTTCTAAATGGATTATTTTGTCTCATGACATGGCAATTGGAATACATTGGGGGGGGGGGGAAATACAATGAAATATTTTCTTTCATGTACATTTGGAATTTTCCCACTTAAAATGTGACAATAATTTTTAAAAAGTACTTTTTAAAAATGTAACTTCTGACTCAGCGATGCAGTTACTAATCAAAGTATACCCACTGTGTATTCAAGTCACCATACGTGAACTTCCGCTTCTTGACGAACCAAGACTGCGGTGCTGTCAATGTCTCCAGCCCACCAAACCATGTCCTAATGGCATCGTCACTTCCCGTTTCCTTTGTGTTCCTTTTGACTCAACACAGACCAGCTGCAATATCGGAAACGTGTTACTGTGATTCACCAAAATGGAACTATTTTTAGTGCAAGCCACACGTTAAAGGAAAACCACATTTATCAAATCGCTATTTGCTTTCATCACTAAGTAATGTGTTCAGTGTTACTGTGTACTATAAACAGCATAACACATGATTTAGTTATGAACATGTACATCATTACCAGCACAAAGAATAATCCTAAGTCAAAAGCATCTGTCCACATGAAAATGTGAGAATGTGGAATCTGGGTGACAATGGAAAACGTGCATTTGCAATATCGCAGAATTCTGCAATCTGAAAAGGAATAGCTGACCGTGTATTTCACAGTCAATTGATACAGAAAATAGTAAGTCCACTGTGGTCAAAGTTTAAATATAAAGTATGAAAGTAACCCCCTACATTACTTACCATATCTTGGCAGTTTGGGTAGTTGGATTCCCAGCCATGGCCACTTACATCTGAGCGAGTGATATTTAAACCGGTCTTCGGCTCTCACTCGCCGACCCACACTGTAACCAGCATGGTGAAGTATGGCCAAATAAACCCCATGAGCAGCACAGCTTGGAGAGGCATACACATAGTAGTGGGACTGACACAAATGTATAGCATCAAGAGTATAATTTAAAAGTATTGTTCAGAATGCTGCTGAGTGCTATGTGAAATTTGTATTACCCAGGCATGAAAATTATTTATTCATGGTTAGCCATGCACCGATACCTACACTGCTGTCAATCCACCACTGGGTGAAGACCTCCCCAGACTGTGTGGATCGTGGGAGTTATTTGACAATACTTCACCACACTTGGATAACAATGTAGTTATTTTAAACGATCACTTTCACCACACATATATGTTCAGAATATTGAACTGAACCCTCACGATTTCCTAGCATCATTCAGGGTTAAGCAATGTACTTATATTTGCGTGACCTTTAATTTAATTGTAGGTGTTATTTTAGTGCACAAAATAGCCACAGTTTGATCGTAACATCAAAGTGAAGGTTCAATGGCTTCTGTTGCCAATTGTTGCCAGTGAGAACAATCCTCTACGGCAATGGCAATCATTCAGTAGCTGTAACTGACAAGACTCGGGCCAAATTTAAATGCCACCTGTGAAACCACCCTTGAGATGGAGAATCTAATTTGCGACGGTGTCTATGGTGTAGACACGTAATAGCACACGCATACAAACAGCTTAAACATACAAACACGTCTGACATAAACAAACATACAAACACGTGTCTACTTGCTAAAGGCAATAGCCTTGTTCATTGCACGCACACTATTCTGCAGTATATTTGTTTTTACACCACCTGCAGTTAAATGCTTTTGAGTTAACACAACATTGGAAGCCACCAGCCAAATATCAACAGTGGATAGAACATGTCGAATAATGAACGATGGTGATATTCAGCAGTAGATTGACAAAGCACTCTAAAATATATTTATTTCAATGTAATGGAATATAAGAGTATCTGGCTGCTCCATATGTCCACGTAATAAGCCACTTTGTTGAGCTATCATTTGTGGCCAGATCGCTTTCGAAAAAAAGCTACATAGCTCAGTGGGCCTTACCTGGTAAAATAAAACATCGTTTTTACAAAGTTTAGTTTAAGACGACGACTCTTATCCCAATCTTGTAATCGGAGCACGAGACAATGTTTATTGTGATGTTTTTTATATAATCTCCATGATTCAAAAAAAAATATTCTGGCGAAAGAATTACATTAATAGCTGCACAAATGGCAAATTTAGATCAATCTAAAATGCAACGTGCCAGCCTTCTGCATTTGTTGCTTCCACTTCAACAGTGGCACGATCTACTGTCTTTAAAACTGCTTCTTGCGCCGTTTCAATTCAAGTCAATGTTCATTTGTTACACGGAAAATTCCGTTTTTGCCAGTTACCTGGCTAGTTCCGGTGCGAGTGGCTGCTGCTTATAGCAGCCACTCGCAACAGAGTTACTGTTGGGGTGTAGAGGAGCCCATCCACTGGGCCGAACGTTATTGCAGTCAAACGAAGACCTCACAACATTCCTCAAACAGCCACTACCTTACAACAGACACACAGTGCGATGCATTTGTAGATAGAAACTGGAGAAAACAACACCTCAATTGAAAGCTTCTGCACGTGTGTTACCCACCAATCTCAATCCACCAATTTAAATCTTGTAACACTCTGCTTCCTCCAGCTATGCTAGATACGGACCCGTCGCTTTCGCTCTGTTTGACGACCCCGTTGAGAAAATAGCTGGTCATTAGAGAGCACTGGGGTATCGATAGAAGCATGAAGGAATCACCCCCTGTTGCAATGCACACATGATTTGGTGGTGCCGCTGCATTGGAAGTGTGGTGCAACCGCGCACAATTAACAACAACACAAAATCAACACATCCGTCAGCGACAATGTCGCCTTACAGGGAAAACATGTGCTGGGCGACGTTTCGGGCGATGTCCTATCTTCGTAAGCACGTGAGAATGTACAGAGCTGTGCCTAGGTGTGGCTCAATAAACACTCGTGTAGATTGCAGCCTGAGCATCACAGGCGTGGCACTCGGGACGATCAATAACGGCGATGCAAGCGGCGATATCGGCTCCCCGTTCGTGTTCACCTTGGTGCCTACCCAGCAAGTAACGAAACGGCGCAAAGACCGAGACAGAAGCATGGGCGGGGGGGGGGGGGGAAGGGGGGCTAGGGGGGGGTAAGGGGGAGAGGGGACGCGAGGCGGGGGGGGGGGGGGCACGGGAGGGGGGTCGGGGGGGGGGGGGCAACTCCTCGCCCAAACTGAACACCTTTGACACTCTGGCTGTGTGCGCCTGATGATGCTCGTTGTAATTACCACCGAAACGTCATACTCGAATTGTAAACGTTCTGGGTTTTACTCTCCAACACAACCGGTGCGTGTTGTCCAGTATCGAATTGCCACGTTTTGTTTACGTGACAAACCTTTAGTAATTGACTGTGTCGGGTATTGGCGGGTTTAACGACACATTTATATTTACGCGACCTAACCCAAAAACCTCTATTATGGACACCTTTATTATTATTTTCAGAAGTTTACGAATAAGATTTTTAAAAAATAACGAAATGATATGCACCCGCGATTCCTTATGCGAGCGACAAGGCGAACCCTTGCACCCCCTCCTCCAGATACAGGAGTCAAACTTCGCCTACGGACAGAAGTAACCCAATGCGGAGCGGCTGAATGGAAAAAAAAATTCATGTTGATATTGTACAGGCTGCTCCAATGTCTAAACAAATTGTAATTCAAACACACGGACTGCGCGCGTACACACACACACACTCTGGAATGGCCACGTATCTC